GACCTGCACGCGACCTGACCTTGCATACCCTCTTAGCATTCTCGCACGCTATGTTGCTCCTGGGAGACACCGACCAGAGCACATGGCTGCAGCGAAGAGGGTGTTGCGCTACTTGTGCAGTACGTCGGGCATGGGGCTAGTGCTTGGAGGGCGGAGTCCAGTGGTCCTCACTGGTCACGCAGACGCTTCTTGGGCTGACGACCAGGCTACGCAGCGGTCGTCACAGGGTTACACCTTCAGCCTTGGTTCCGGCTCTGTTTCGTGGCGGGCTACTCGCTCGTCTTCTGTTCTCGGCTCCAGTTGTGAGGCTGAGATCTACGCAGGGGCCATGGCTGCTCAGGAGCTTCGTTGGCTTACCTACCTGCTGACCGACCTAGGAGAGCCGCCTCGTTCTCCTCCAGTCCTGTACGTAGACAACAAGGCCATGCTGGCCTTGTGTCGAGAGCAGAGACTGGAGCACAGAACAAAGCACATTGCTCTCCGCTACTTCCTTGCTCGTGAGCTACAGCAGCGTGGTCAGTTGCGGCTTACGTACGTGGCCTCTGAGGCCAACACTGCTGATGTCTTCACCAAGGCACTTGCGCCTTGTGATCATCAGCGCTTCTGTACCCAGCTGGGTCTTGTGCCTGTCTTGTCTCACTTGCTCACCTCTTGACCTTGGTTGTACTGTTACATATATATGTACCTGCTCTTGCTTGTCCAGCCTTATATATATATGTACTCCTGCATGTGAACTGGCCTTGTGGCCTTGAACTTGTGCTCGGAATGTGTGGTGACTTTGTGATCCACCCTGAGCTTGCTTTGCCTTGCTTTACTTGACTGGTCTTGTGACCCCTAGTTCTCCCCCACTTCGCCTATGGGGGTGTGTCAAACATTATATATGTTGTGCTTGTTTAGGCTACAGTGGGTTAGTCTATAGGGGGTACACAATTCTAGGGTTAGGTACTTGTACTCTTTTCACTGTTAGTTTCATCATTCCTGTTTGTTCATCTCAACAGACAGCACATGTGTTCTTCAGGACGTTTTGTTCAACGTGAACACCAACTTCAACGCGAGGTTGTCATCACCGTCGCCAACAATCAGAACCTGCGCACACGACGACAAGGCGTAGTGCAACTTCAGTCACGAGAGACAAACGTCATACTGCAAATGTCAAAGGTTTTAATAGCAGAAGGACTTGGCTACAACTTACTAAGCGTCAGCCAACTAATGGCGAAGGGGATCCATCTTGAAGCAGACAGCACCACACAGGAGTTCAAGCTCTTCCACGGTCGAGGGGGACTCTACATCGGCAAAGCAGTACTGAAAAACAACGTCTTCGTCCTCGACTTCGTCCCAGATCTTGGCACTGCCGACAGCGACGGGATCGTCACCTTCACCTCTTGGACACATCCACCGGATCTTGACCCCGACTTCAGTCCAGAAGGCTTCTGGTACTCGCACACCATCCCTGAAGCAGAACGAACAAGAGCATTAGCAACGATTCAACACTCGACAGCAGCAGAAACAACATCGGCAGCAGCAGAAACAACATCGGCAGCAGCAGAAACATCGGCAACACCAACAACACTTACAACACCAGTCGCAAGTTCTTCAACGACATCGCCACACATCGACAATACTTCACCGACTCCTGCGCAGCAGCTAACTCCCACTCCTCGCGAAGTTCACAGAAGCGCCAACTTCACCGCCGCCTTTTACTCCAACTCCGACCTGTATCGTTGTTCACCCGGACATCGCGCTAGCGAAGACATCTGGCACGCACGAATGGGACATCCAAGTAATACGGTGTTAAACAACACAATCAGAGCAGGAGTTCTCGACAAAGATTCACTACTTCTAACTGACGGAAGTGAACTTCGACGAGCGCGAGGAACGTGTTTTACCTGCCCCGAAGCTGACTTACCGCATCGACCTTTCACTTCTCACCACAACCCCAGCGCACCAGCTTACGCACCACTTGAAAAGGTGTACAGCGACATCCTGTACAATCGCGAACCTGGACAAGGAGCATACAGCTACACCATCACGTTCATCGATGCCGCTACACGTTACGTTTGGCACCTTAATCTCCCGAGCAAGGACATGGCTTTCGAAGCCTTCATCGCTTGGCTTCCAGTAGCAAAACGAGAATCGGGTGTGAAGCTCAAAAGCTTCCAGTCAGACGGAGGAGGAGAATACACCTCACAGAGGTTCAAGCAGTTCTTGGCAGAAAGGGGAATCAAGAGGCTCATCTCGCTTCCTTACGCCCATCAACAGCAAGGCGTGGCGGAACGGATGAATCGAACTCTCCAGAACACCATGCGCAAATTACTGCGTGGCATGCGACTGCCCAATCACCAGTGGCCTGAAGCGATGGACCACGCTGTCATGCTGCACAACTTGCTTTCGTCGTCGTCACTACCGAACAACGCATCACCGCACCTGCTGTGAACAGGAAAACAGGGCAGCACAAAAATGTTAAGAGTTTTCGGCTGCATGGTACAGTACCGACCCCCATCTGCACGAGCCGGCCGATTTTCCCAACGAGCACAGTGGGGACTACACCTGGGCATCGAAAGGAATTACAACGCATGGAAGATTTTCGTCGTCCACTCCAAAGAAACAGTGGCAGCACGTGACGTCATTTTCTACGAACGACTCACCCTTCCGACGTATCTTGCCAACCTGGAAGAAAATCGGGATCCCACAGGTGGCTTCCGTGGTGACCGACACTTCGCCTCGACAGCAGACGAAGCTGACTGGGACGAGCAGAATGTGGATACCGCCTCAGACGAAGCAGGACCACTCCCATACTGCTCCGTTCCTATCCCGATGGATGATGAAAATCCTCGCGAAAGCGTCAACGCCGAAACTTATTTCGACCTCGCCGATACTGGTTACGTTACACCTGCAGAAGTCAACACCAACGAAGCAGAACGCATTGGGCCCAATTTCATACCTGACCCAGAAACAGGTGACGAAGCAGCTTATCCCGCGGACACAACACTCCCCCGCTACACACAGAGTGGCCTTCAGATACTTGGTCTCGTCACTGCGATCCACGGCACGGATACTCCTAAGGAGCCTGCCACAGTTCAGCAGGCTCTGGGGGGGGAGCATAAGGAAAAATGGCGTGAAGCCATGGACAAGGAACTGAAAGCACTACAGGAGCGCAACACCTGGAAAGTTGTTATTATCGGCGTGGCACGAAACAAGACAATACTCACCGGGAAGTGGGTCTTCCGTGTGAAGACGAAAGCAGATGGCACCATCGACAAGTTCAAGGCACGCTGGGTCGTACGCGGCTTCGACCAAGAGCATGGACGCGATTTCACCGAGACATTCGCACCGGTTAGTCGACACACCTCAGTACGGATTCTTCTCGCGATCGCCGCTATGAAGAAAAAGAAGCTGCGGCAAATCGACGTTGCCAATGCTTTTCTCTACGCCCCTGTCGACGCAGAAATCTTCGTCGAACTTCCACACGGTTCCCATGGAGAACCTAACCAAGTCAGCCAGCTACTGAAGTCCTTGTACGGGATCAAACAGGCCCCGAGACTGTGGCAGCAGTACTTACACGCTCGACTCACTCGCATCGGATTCCGGCAACTACCGCACGACCAAGGAATGTACCGGCTCACGAAAGGCGACGACTACATTCTACTAATCGTCTACGTAGACGATCTGCTTTACATCGGGTCAACCGACAACCATCGCCAAACGGTTCGCACTCACGCCAACTACAATCTCTACGCCATACCGCTACACGGCAGGAAATGACAAGGCAGAATCTGCTCCACTGAAACCCGCCGGCATACGCAACTACCAGAGAAAGCTGGGATGCCTTCTCTTCGCGGCCGTCACTTGCCGTCCAGACCTATCATACTTAGCAAGTCAACTCGCCACCTACCTCAAAAGGCCTGAAGACGAACACATGAAGGTGCTCGATCGCGCTCTACACTACCTCGTAAGCACTCCGACGATCGGCCTGATCTGCTACAAGAACATAACTACAACGCCAAAGCTAATCGGCTACGTCGACGCCGATCACGCCGGAGATCCTGACAACAGGCGCTCACGCACAGGCTACATCTACCGTCTCGAGCCTATCGGACCTATTTCGTGGCAGTCGAGCAAACAGGAATTAATCGCCCTCTCCTCAGCTGAAGCTGAATATATCGCACTCTGCTCAGCCACCAAGGAAGGACTGTATCTTCGCGAACTACTGGAGGAAGCGAAACTGGCCCAGTTACCCAGCTTCTCCCTATTTTGCGACAACCAGTCGGCAATTCGCATCGCCAACAAAAATGGATTCGCGAACAGGACGAAACATATCGCCCTGCGATATTTCTTCGTAAAAGACGAGATCGAGAAGGGAAGACTTGAGCTGTCTTACTGCCCCACATCTGAGATGGCAGCTGATTACTTGACCAAGAAGCTCGGAAAGTTGAAGTTCGAATATTGCATGCTGCTGACTGGACAGAGCCACGTCACCTGCAGCGACACTCCAGAAGCGAAGGGGAGTGTTGGAAACAACTGACTTAAGCGCCTCTGTCGTGTCGAAACACTAAGACAAGAACGAAGCAGATCGTATCGAGACATCGGTGAGTCAACCCTCGGAGGTTGAACAACTGCTGGAGGTTACGCGAAAGTCAAAGGTCAGTGACCTTTGACCTGACGAAATGTACAGTGCGACAGCAAGGACATATAACTGACTCGTTACAGAGCAGTTACCCGAGTCGGCACTGTATCGAACCACAACAGCAAAACAGTTAAAATAGAACCTTTTCATATTCCTTGTAATCATATAAAAGCTTGTATCCTTTTGTTATTATTAACTTACTTTGTTCTCACAAACCAGTACAAGGTGGTTCAACAAGTCTTTATTAAAACGCTTCCGCTACTACATCATCCTACTCTTGAATTCCGTCCTGCAAAGATCCTAAGGGCCTACTCAGCCCAACAGGATTGCCTGCATCTCGAACATCCAGAAGGCGCAGTGCTCAGTGCGGCGGCAGATGCGCCAGCACTCGAACGGCTGGTTGGTGTAGGCCGTCACGATCACCGCCTGGTGGCCCTTGCCCGGGCGGTCAAAGAAGAACCCCGTGCCCAGGAGGTAAGGGGCGTCCTCTCACTCGCCTGCTCCTCCCTCCCCACCGGTCAGGGGTGCAGGGCCGGAGTGTCTTGAGAGTGTGGTGGAGGGAGGAGTGGGAGGGGAAGGAGGGGTAAGAGGAGGAGGAGGGGGAGCGAAGGGATTTGGGGCGTTTGGGTCGGGCTTTGGTGGTGTGGGCCGAGGGTCTGGAGGTGGCAGGCTTGGGGCGTTGAGATCAGGAATGGTAGAAGCAGGAAGGGGAGGAGGACGGGGCCAAGTAGGGAGAGGAGGAGCAGGAGGAGGAGGAGGGAGTGAGGCAGCATCGGGAGGGCCTGTGTTTGTGAACACAAGGCGGACAGAGGAGTATCAAAAGTTACACCAGTCCTCCAGCAATCTCAAACCACCAGGCCACCCTCCCGTCTCTCCGTCCGGATTCGCTGCGTTTGGGATGCGGTTTCTGCAGCTGAGAGCGTCAGCGGCAAGCTCAGGTCGCTCCGAGCCGGAGGGCTGAGTCCGTCAGCAGCAGGTCCGGGAGGAGCCGGAGCCAAGCCGGGTGTTGCGCGTGCAGGTTCGGGGTTCAGCCTTAGTGCAGCAGCAGCTGCGGACGCTCTTACCAGTGCTGCTGCCGCTGCTGCTGGCCTTGGTCCTGCTGGTGCTGCCAGTAACGTTGATGCTGCCGTTACAGCTCCTGATCGACGTCTAACCAGAGTGGGCAGTGAGGGTGCATGTGCAACTGGTCGCGCCTTGCCTCGTATGGGTAGCGTTGGTGGCGGGGGTGGTGGTGGAGGGGGTGGTGGAGGGGGTGGGTTCACGTGGATTCAGGGAGGGTTTGTGCGGCGAGAAGGCTCAGCTAGCCCCGCTGCTAGTGCTGGTAGCGGCGGTGCAGCGGCTGTAGCGGCTGGTGGTGGTAACAGTGCTGACAGTGGTGGGGGTGGCAACATGGGATACGATTTTGGATACGACATGGGGTAGTGCCCGTGACAAGGGACCAGAAACAAGGCCAGTGATTTGCAGCAGTAACGTCTCCCATTCCCATTGATCATCCAAAGTACATTCAACTTGATACAACGTGCCTAAGAGTCAACCCTGTGCTAGTCACACTGCAGCGGATATCCGCACAGTAGCTGCTCCTCCCTCTGCACCAGCCACCTGACTCTAACTCAAAGCACCTTCCATCAAGTTGAATGAGCTTGCAGCCGGCAGCCCTCTCTCACGTCCGCTCCCCATGTGGTAACACCCCAGCAAACCTCATCTGGCATTGCCCTGATACATTGCTGGGCTGGCAGTGCCGGGGATGAGTGAGATTACTGCAGGAAGGCAACGAGATTCTGGTGCGCGTTGAGGTAGAGGAAGAGGGGTAGAGGAGCGGAAGCGGAGGAGGAGCGGGCGGAGATGCGAGCGAGGAGGGACGATGCAAGGTCAGCAGAGAGGCGAGTCTCTCCCACCATCGCATACACGCTTGCTGCAGCTGCACCAGCAGCACCAATGTTGACTCCAACCTTGGCATCAACTGCAGCCTTCACCCAAGCACCAGGAAGGACAACCAGGGGAGACAGAATCGAAGGCACCGAGCTAAGAGCCGAGCCTGCTGCTTTCCCTGCCGAGCCGGCCACCTTGCCCGCAGTGCCAATCACCGAACCTGCAATGTTGCCCACGGAACCTACCACCGAGCCTGCAGTCTTCCCTGCCGAAACAACCACGCTCCCTACTGCTCCACCTGCGCCAGAGACAACCCCACCAATCCCCGAGATAACACCAGCGGGGTTGAGGTCAAGGTTCACCGAGCCTCCGAGGTTGGCTTGGACACCGCCCGAGCCTGCGTTGACACCGGCACCAACGTCAGCGGAGGTGTTGAGCAGCCCAGAGGAAGCAGCCAGAGAACCAGATCCAGACACAGTGCCGTTGGGAAGGGAGGCTGCCGCACCAGCGCCGGCACGAGCAGATGTGTTGAGCAGACCGGTGGAGGCAGAGAGAGAGCCAGAGCCAGAGAGAGTGGCGTTGGGGAGAGACGCGTGGGCACCACCGCTGGCAGTGGCTGACGTGTTAAGGAGAGCAGTTGAGGCGGCGATAAAGCCTGAGCCTGAAGCAGTGGCTTTGGGGAGGGAGGCGTCAGTGCTGCCCGCAGCAGTGGCTCCGGTGTTGAGGAGGTTTGTGGAGGCTGAGAGACCCCCTGCGGCGGAGAGCGATCCGTCTGTGTTAAGAGCGGTGCCGGCCCCGGCAGTGGTTGATGCAGAGAGGGAGGAGTTGGGGAGAGAGGCAGAGGCGGAGAGAGAGTTAGAGGTGGTAAGGCCGGTGGTGGGGGGGGAGGCATCGGCAGTGGTGGATGCTGAGAGGGAGGAGTTGAGGAGGTTCGTGGTGGTGGTGGTGGTGAGAGAACCAGAGCCGGTGGCTCCTGTGGAGGGAGAGAGGGAGGCGTGCAGTGAGCCGTCTCCGGACAGGGAAGCAGATGCGGCCACAGCAGGCGAGGAGGAGGAAGTGGAGGAGGAGGTGGAGGAAGTGGAGGAGGGAGAGCAGGGGTTACGGGCGACGATGGCTGGGGAGGATGATGGGCGCTGAGTTAAGCCTTGTGCTGTGATCTTGTAGGATAGATAAACGGATGCTCCCCTGGAAGATACGGTAGAAGGGAGATAGGAGTATGGTATGAGAGGGTAGAGAGTAAGTTTGGATGGGACACCCTGGTAATGCAACAGCTAGGGCTCATTGTGTTGAAAGGATATACATTACAAGAAGTGTGATGTGGTATTGCTTTTGTATTGAGGAAAATTGGTGTACCTGCGGAGAATGCTGATGTCAGCTGTGCCGTCGACATTGGCTCCGATGATGTCAGCACCAACGTGGGCATTGAGTACAGCACACGTGGTGAGGCCCCCCTGGAGAGATGCTGCGGAAGGAGTGGGAGTGAGAGGAGAGGAAACGTGAACATCTGTCACATTCTAACGTAAAAAGGACCTGCACATGCCGACTGCATTTGCATCTTACAGGGAGAATGCGTGTAGTGTAGCTAGATAAAAAAATGGAGGATGCACAGGCAGAGCGTGCCGAGAAGGGGAAAATATCTACTGTAGCTTACCCAGAACCTTGGAGCGCACGCCAAGACCAGCACGAGCAGCACGGGCGGAAGAGGGGAGAAGAGCTGCAAAGGGGGCACAAAAAGGTGGAGGCATCATGAGGGAGGGGAGCTCAAGCCATTTGGGATAACGCGAAGGCAACGATAGGGATTTAAGCGCATCGGAAAACGTATGTACTCAGCACGTTGCTCAACACAGCCCGATTTGGCTGGGAGGGATGCGTGTGAATTGAGGAAGCAGTAAAATGGATGATGGTGATTTTCAGGATCTGTTTCCTCACCTCCCAGGGCAACAGCGAAGAGGACTGCGAACGCAGCGCGAGGGAAAAAAGAAGCCATCGAGAAGAGCTTGCTTTGGGCGTTACGCTACGATTCAGGAGGAATGGAAGTCTGAAAATTATAGTTGGGCTTGAAAGCAGCAATCGATTGCTTGGTGAGAAACGTAAGCAGAGAGCAGTGATTGTGGGAGCACTGGAAGTTGCGATGCCGAGGATGAGGAGAAAATTGCATTTTATCTCAATCAACATTCGCTACGGACCGCGCGTTGGACTCGCGTCGCGACGCGTTCGAGTGGGGCGGTGGTGGGTACGGTTTGGTTGGCTGGGTGGGTCCAATTTGGAACTGGCTGTAGGGTAGGCAACGTCGATGTTGACTGTCGTTGACGTTGTAATTTGGCAATGCTACAGTAGGGCAGGCAGGACGGGGAATGTGGATGACCATTTGAAATCAGTCAACAACAGCATTATCGCATCTGCCTGGTGCGTTATGCACAACTAGGTGGACACATTATCTTTCATAGGTGTTAAAAAGGCTGAATATATAGGAAAAAACAGACAGAGAGCACACAAATCAAGGACATAAGTATGGTAGAGTCCACCTTATTCCATGCAGATTTCATTCTGCAGAATGCACGAGTGCATTTATTGTGGGCTTTATGAAACCGACTTTGGATCACTTGGTGCCTTTTCCTATCAGCATTCTTCAACTCGCTGTGGTCTTAGCAATGGTCTCAATACCTCCTTCGCAGTTACCGCCCACCACAAACAGCCCATCTGCCCTTTGTTGGTATGTGGTGGAGGTGACGTCTGCAGGGTCTGCTGGCTCGCATGGGCTCTGCTCCTTCCTCCACAGCTTGCATCGGCCTGGGATAGGATAGGAGGGGATGGAAATGATAAAACACAAATAAACGATATGACCTCACACGAAGGAACTTCTGCAGAATTTAAGTATTGGACCCCAATCTCCTTCTCATGTACCGATAAAAATCCACCATCCTTATTCGCTTCTTCCCAATGCTCCAATACCCTCCTTTCCACCATTCCCTACCTTGGATTGCCTGCATCTCGAACATCCAGAAGGCGCAGTGCTCAGTGCGGCGGCAGATGCGCCAGCACTCGAACGGCTGGTTGGTGTAGGCCGTCACAATCACCGCCTGGTGGCCCTTGCCCGGGCGGTCAAAGAAGAACCCCGTGCGCGGCCAGTTGCAGCGGAAATCAGGGCACTGGGCCGTGGGGCCTGACGTAGTTCGAATGGGACAAAAGGGGACAATGGGAGAGAAGGTGAGCAGGGACGCATCAAGGACTTGGTGCGGGTAACAAAAGAGCCCGTGCGCGGCCAATTGCAGCGGAAATACGCACACTGGGCTGTAGGGCCTGGTGTGAAGGGAGCGAGGGGCAGTTGGAGAGAAGGGGGGCGGGAAGACAGGCGTTGGGCGGTCAAAGAAGTAGCCCATGCGCGGCAAGTTGCAGCGCAAGTCCGGACACTGCACCGTGGGACTTGTGTGGTGACAGTGGCAGACATCGAACGCAGTCACAAGAAAGACGGGCAGGGAGGTAAGGGGCGGTGAAAGGGGAACGAGGAAGCGACGGAACTGGGAAGAGAAAGAGGGGAGCAAAGGTAACTCTGCTGCTGATGCTGCGCCCGTAGCATGGCAACACTGCTGCTGTGTCCTGACCTCAGTCCTGTTGCGTACTCTGAGAAAACTCTGATCCTGCTCCTTCATTATCTGCTATCCCTTCACCGCATCACATCCCTTGGTCCAAGGCCCTACCTTGCCGCTACATCGCGTCCCCCTCTCCCGCCACCCCCGATGATTTCTGAGTCACACTCAAAACTCGTCCCATCGCCTGGGCATCACATCCCCTGGTCCAATGCCCTACCTTGCTGCCGCTCCAGAGCATCCGCAACTCCCGCCACTCCCGCTGCGGATGCTTTCAGCGCCACTCCCCCATCCGCTCCCCGGACTGCCCTGTCTGGCGCAGCCTGCGCCGTTACCACCGCAGAACCATTCCCCTGTCCAGCATTCCGCGGACCACGCGCATTTACAGGCTCGGTTGAACTATCCTTCCCTGCAACGGCAAATCCCGGAACCGTCAGGTCCGACTGCTTCTGTCCGCGCAACCGCACCGCAACTGACGCCTCCACAAGCTGCGGCTTCTCCGCTTCCCCCGCTTGCGCCGAGAGTCCGGCCGTTGCGGGGGAGATTTCAAGCAACTGCGGATCCGAACCCTTCTCAGGCGCCACCGCCGTCGCGCCCACCGCAAAGTTACCTTCGAGGATGTTTTCGCCATTTGCGTCGCCGAGTCCGTCTTCCTGTGTCGGCGAGCCACGGCCTGGGGTCGCAGATGCCGTCGCCGAGTCGTCGGCGACTGCGATCGTGACGGTTTTGCGGGCATTGCAATTTCCGCCGAAACCAAAGAACCCCTCGATTCGCGGGGTCGGATCGTACGTGACGTCACCGAATGCGCCTGGGCGGCAAGGGCTCTGCTCCGCTGTCCACATTTTACAATAGGCTGCGGGGGGCGCCAGACAATGATTGGGGAAACAGCGGGGGTAGTGATCAGGAATGCCGCGGAGAAATTGAGAAAGGAGCGCTTCGTAAATAAAAAAACAGAAAGCGGAATCAAGTTTCAAGAGCCCGACGACATGAAATCACGATGACCATTAGTACACCGATTTACAGCACATATCTTGTTGCATGCATGAAATGCGGTTGCGTGATGCAAGATACATACCGATGAGCAAACATGAAACGCAGCGTACCTCCGGTTGACACGAGTCCAAACAACCACACGTCGCAGCCGGGCGTCGAGGCGCATATCTCGCCGCACTTGGTTGACGTGCGAACGGGCCCCGTGAGCTCCACGTCATTGAGGTTGCCGCGATTCGGGTGGTTCCAAAGCACGCCTCGCTGTGTAACGTCGCATTGTAACGGAGGGCATGCGACAGTCGTTGGCGAGCTCGCCGAGTAAGCGTTTGCTGTTCTGGTGACTAATATAATTCCTAGCAGAGAGAGTGTTAATGCTACGGTCAAACCGCCCGTCATTCCAACGCGGCGGCGATCAAAATCCAATAGATCCATAACCTTCAAAAAAAAAAAAAAAAAAAAATCAAAGCAAATCTGCAGGGTTATGATTTCGACCTACGTGTGACTAAATCACTTTGGCTATACAAGATGTGAGTGTGTTAGATGATGAACTTTTGTCAAGCGATTCCGCTGGTATGTAAATACCTTTTCTGGTATCACCTGCTACGCGCATAAGGGAAGTGTGGTGTGGGTGGCGAAAAGCACTACTACGCGGCTCGTTCGTGCGCCTTTGTGAACGGTCAAGATGAACTGTTCTTGATAACGAAGGGTTAAGATTGTTTAGATGGTGGGAGTGTGGCTCCATCTGGATTGTGTGGAAATGGTCCCTTTGACTTCCGAATTGACGGTCAGAGATGTGTTTCGAAGGGCATGATTGAATGAAGGAAACGAACCGCGATGTCAATATGATGTGGATGATCACTGGATCCACAGGTGGAGTTTGCCCATGCTTGAGGATCCACGTGTTCACTTTCGTGGATCCACACCGCACCTGTGTAATCCCAAGCAGTTCGCTATTGACGGTTTCTGGACATGCGTTTAAACAGGTTACAGTGTAGGTTGCCTTGAGGTATGCTATCGATGCCTTTACCAAAACACAACATAACCTCTCTTCCCTGCTGAACATGTGATACAACTCTGAACCAAGTTATTGTGGACAGAAAAACTCGTGGACTCAAATATGTCAGAGGTTCACTGGTGATCCTTGATTGATCTTAGTGAAGTGTTACAGACTCGTTGTCCTGAGGGGGGTATGGACGCACTAACCCGCTACTTAACAAGCCCTTTTATCCCAATTGTCTATTGGTTGGGATTCTGATATGGTATCAGAGCGAAGATCTCAGGTTCGAATCCCAATGTGTGCACTTCGGGCATCCCAGTACGGGGGGGTGTTAGAGGTCCACTGGTGATCCCCGATTGATCATAAGGAAGGTTTACACGCTCAAGGGGTTATGGGCGCACTGACCCACTACTTAACAAGTCATTTTATCTCAATGGTCTAGTGGTTGGGATTCTGACAAAATAAACCACAATAATCTAGCTAGCTGATTGAATCATGTATTGTCAAAAGCTAAATAACATACAAATGGACATTAGCGACCTAATAGCCCAATCAACACTTGCACAAAGCACTAATTGTCAAATAAATATATGTCACCAATCTAACCAAATTACCGTAACCATGCTGTATCACCCCGGATATAAGCGCAGGCCTAAGATAAGCGCATGCGCTTGTATCTGGAGCAATGCGCTTATGGCCGATCCTCATTTATAAGTGCACCTTTCTATAATTCTTTACTTATTATAAGCGCACCCTTCTACAGTTTTGATATTTTTAACACTGTTTTAATGATTTACCGATTCACTACATGCCCTCACAGGGCTTTCAAACAAACTCCACTAATATTTCACTAGAATCGCACATTTTTCTACAAGTTTTGCCATATAGAGGCAGGATTTACTACCTAATCTAGCATAAGGGAGGTCACTCCTCCTCATCTGACTCAGGCTCTTGGCATAGAGTAATGCTGCAAGGGTCATCATTGAAGAGTGGCTGCCCATGGTGGAGCGAGAGAGCGGCAAGCGGGTGAAGGCGATTCGTAGCGACCGTGGTGGGGAGCTTTTGGGAGCGGAGTTCCGGAGCTGGTTGAAGCGGCACGGCATCAAGCAGCAGCTCACCACGGCCTACACCCCTCAGTCCAACGGCGTCGCAGAGAGAGCGAACCGGAGCATAATAGAGGGCGGGAGAACGTTATTGGTGGACTCAGGTCTACCCTTGCGGTTCTGGCCCCTCGCTATTCGTCATGCTACCGTCATTAAGAACCGGGTGTTGACTCATGTGGGAGGTCAGTATTGGGTCCCTATGGAGAAGTGGAGTGGCAAGAAGCCCCTGGTGGATATACTTCGTGTCTTCGAGTGCATGGGGCTCGTGCATGTCCCTAAGGAAAAGCTTCAAGCGACGGCGGTGTGGGCTGTTCATTTGGGTCTTGCACGGGGGAGCAAGGGCTGACTCATGTGGGACCCAAAATCCAACACCATCTTCACCACCAGAGATGCCAAGTTCATGGAGGGGCTTATGTTCAAGGAGTGGTCGGAGCGGGGGAGGAGCAAGGTCACTATTCCGCTTGGAATAGAGGTGGGAACGAACGACCCACTTCTCATTCCCATCGAGTTCTCCTCATCTTCAGAGTTGACACAGGTGTCACATAACTTGGGAGGTGCTGAAGGGGAGGCAGCAGATGTGGAAGGAGTACTGCAGCAAGGGGAGGCCCTTGTAGCTGAGAGAGGTGATACCGAGGAGGAGGTGCAGCAGCCTACACCATCCCCTAAGCTTCCACCAAGGCGCTCAACCCAAGGGAAGCGTGATGCTGTCCGTGGTGGAGCCAAGGAAGGAGCAGCCAAGGAGAGGTTCAAGAGAGCTGCCCAACCAAGGGATTTCCTCAAGTATGAAAGGCTTGGGGGTCCCAAGGCATTGCTGGTCCAGGAGAAGGAAGATGAGGAGGAGAAGGGAGCCGAAGGGGAGATGGAGCAGATTTGTTGCTTTGGCGTCAACTTACCTCATGAGCTGGCGTCAATGGAGGAAGATCTCGCTGGAGATGATTGAGAGGCTTGATTGGCTTCAAGGGAGGATGAGTTCAAAAGCCATATGGAGAATGAAACATGGACCCTCACCAATCTGCCCCCAGGAAGAAAGACGTGGGATTGCACGTGGGTGTTACGTGTAAAGACTGATGCGGAGGGGAAGTTGGAGAGGCGCAAGACAAGGCTTGTGATCAAGGGCTTTCAGCAGAGAGAGGGGATTGACTTTCAAGTGGTGTTTGCTCCTGTTGCCAAGGCTCCTACGCTCCGGGTGTTGCTAGCAGCCGCTGCCGTTTGTGGCTGGAAGGTGGAGCAAATGGATGTGAAGACGGCGTTTCTCTATGGCGTGGTAGATGAGGAGATCTACATGAAGCAGCCAGAGAGGTATGACGATGGGAGCGGACGTGTTTGCAGGCTCAACAAGGCCATCTATGGCCTAAAAAAAACTCCAAGGTGCTGTTATGCAAGGCTGGTGGAGGCGTTGGAGGCTCTTGGCTTCAAAGTTAGCGGGTGCGACGAGAGTCTCTTCACGACCAAGGGGGAGGAGGAGAAGATGTTTCTCCTTGTCTACGTCGATGACATCCTCCTCTTCTCTCCATCCCTGGAGAGGATCAAGGAGGTGCAAGGAAAGCTAAAAGAGACCTTCCAGTACAAGGCCCTTGGACCTGTGGGGTATTACCTTGGTCTTCACGTGGAGCGGGACGAGGTGAAAGGATGGTTGAGGCTTCACCAACACAAGTACCTTGCAGCCATGGGGGAGAAGTATGGGCTGGAAGAAGGGAGGAGTGTGAAGACTCCTCTACCCTCAGGTTTTCAGCTGCACCTTGATGAAGAGGAGGGTGAGGTGTTGGAGTACGAGTTGCAGCGTCAGTTCCAGTTAATGATGGGGAGCTTGATGTACGCTTCGGTCAACACTCGCCCCGACGTTGCGTTTTCACAGCTCGCTTGTGTGGTGTCTAGGCCCCTTCAAGAGCACCTGGATGCAGCAGAGAGGCTAGTGAGGTACTACATGGCAACCTCAAGGGTGGGGCTGCAATATTCATTGCATGGGCAGCTGAAGCATAAGGGAGTGGAGGAGGTGAGCACAAAGACTGGTGCACCTGCAAGGCGTGGGCACTTGTACCTTTCGTGCTTCACCGATGCTACCTGGGCAAGTGACATCAGTGATGCTACATCCCATGGCGGCTATATATGCTATGTTGGAGGGAGTCCAGTGAGCTGGAAGTCTAAGAAGCAAGGAGAGATAGCTCACTCATCAACGGAGAGCGAGTACATGGCATTGTTTCATGGAGTGAAGGAGGTGGTTTGGATGAGGAGGTTGCTTGAGGAGTTGGGGCAGGAGCAACACGGTCCTACACCTGTGTTTTTTGACAGCCAAGGAGCAATTGTAATGGTGCGTAATGCTGTGCTCCATGGGCTGAACAAGCACATGCATATCAAGTGGCATTGGGTGAGGAAGGAGGTGAAGAAGGGCACCATCTCCGTGCACTACATCAACACTACCAAGCAACCTGCAAATTTCTTGACTAAGCGGCTTGCAGAGCATCAGCATTGGAGCTGTGCCACCTTGTGTGGCATGTCCTTCAACTAAGGGAGGTAGCTTCAGGGAGCAGCTAAGGGATGAATGAGAGCACGATGAGGGGGAGTTTTTTTGTGCCAAAGCACTATAGTGGCACGGGCATCGCACTCCCATTCAGCCTACAAGCCTGCTCAGCTTCTGCAATTTTGTGTGGAGGTGCTTCAACATTTGTTCTTCACACCCTCAAATGTTCAGATTTTTTGAAGCAGCTTACAAGGCATGGCAACATTGTTTAGTTTCAAGACTTATGGCATCCCG